ACATACATACATACATACACACATACATACATACATACATACATACATACATACACACGTACACACATACATACACCCATACATACACACATACATTATACATTTGTATTCCACAGCCAGAAGTATTTTCTATGGTAGCATACGCTTTTGATCAGGGATCTCCACCTCAATCAGATGAAGTCGTAGTCGATATAATAGTGGCACAACCAGACCTGCCCGCATTTAAAGCCCCACAGGAACAGACGTATGTAGCAGTATAGAGTAATACATTAGTACTAGTAATACATATAACAATTGTATTAGTATTATAGAAGTGATGTTTTACCCTATAACCTGACGTGTTATTATACCGAAAATTCGATATGTCGCCAAATGCGAAAAAAATTCGCAAGTGATTCGGGTGGGAATCGAACCCACGACCTCCAGATAACTGGAGAAAAGAAGGGGAAATAAAGTAAATAGGACAGTAAGTGAAAAGGGATAGATAAAGAGGGGAAATTTATGTGTATGTGTGTGTGTGTGTTGTGTCGTGTTGTGTTGTGTCTTTAAAATGGTTTTTAATGAGGGAGACCTGTAATATATATATTTTTTTCTAAACAAAGACCAAAAGCTGCCAAATACCAGTGTCGTGTTTTCACGTCATTTAAGGAATAAAAATCGTGAGCATCTATTGTCTCTGTGGTTTAAGAAAAAACAGGGGGAGGGGATAGAAGGGGAAAGAAAGAGAAAATAGAAGGATAAGGGGAAAAATATTGGATTTTTTCAGGACCACAATGAAAACATTTCTTAAAATGATTGTGTCATCCTGGTTGAAGATGTTAATAGATAAACTAGCCTGGCGCCATAACCACTAGACAACCGAGCTTGCGCTTAGTGACTAGCGTTGAATCCGATCCCCAAATAGCAGCGGACACTGCAAATGCCATTTCAATGTAAGTCTGCCTAGGAAAATATCATAGGAAAGATGTTTTGCCTTACCTGACGTGTTTTTGTCTAATACTCGACGTCTCCAAATACATGCGAAAAAGATTCGCAAGAGATTCGGGTGGGAATGGAACCTCGGACCTCCAGCCTGGCGTCATGTGGCTCCACGCTAGTTATTTGGGGACGTACTGAGCACTCGGTACGAAAACACGTCAGGTAGGGCAAAACATCACCCCTATGATACTTTCCTAACGCAAACTCGCATCGAAATAGTATTAGTATTGTTAATAAAAAATAACAAGATGTTGTATATATTACTTTATTCTCAGCTGTTACTGTTTTTTAAAAGCTGCATCATTACCAACACGACATGCAGTTATATGTGAGGTGATAATGACAGTTTTTTTTTTGTATAGATTATTGGAAGTAGAAGAAGGAAGCACAAGCGAAGTGATACCATTTCCGCCTGCGACTCTTTCTGATGAATATATGCTAGAAGGAAATGTCACTTACACCATAACAGGTGGAACCGGTTTAGGTTAGTTTAAGAAATATTACATCCGCTGAAGTACGCAATGCTCGAAACTAAGGACGAAGAATAGGCCTATGGCTATGACTACAATAATATTAAATGAATAATGTTAAATATGTATTTTAGATGCGAAAACGATAAAATAAATATTTGAATGATTATATAGAAATATATACGAAGACTGAATTAAAACATCATAACTGCCAAAATTACTTACAGGCCAATGATGAAGACTTAACATCTGAACTACAGTTCGCAATGTCTTCAATAAATACAGATGCGAACAGCCTATTCGAAATCGACCCAGTTACCGGTCAGGTGATTGCCACAGGTTTTCTATACAAAAAAATCGATTACTGTGATCCGCAAGAGAGCTGGAAGGAACAGGAATATCAGTATATCATCTGTCTCTTATACACATCTAGATGTGTATAAGAGACAGTATATATATATTTGAAACAATTTCAATTTGAAACAATTATGCTAAAAAAAAATAAATTAATATGATATAAAAAAAAACGTTTAATAGGCTGCTAACTATACTTTGCATTCCCCGACAGGCTACTTTTGTATACCCGAACCACTGGTAAATGCTCTGAAGCCCATTAAAGCGTTAAACAGAGAAGATAATGCGAATTATACACTGGTAATATCTGCCGGGTTCTGTAATAATACACAAGACCAGTGTAAATATTTAACGAGTGACTGCAAAACAGAAAGGAGAGCGGAAATTAAGCAAGCAACTACATTTGAAAAGCGTAACATCTTGTGGCACAATCCTTCAGGTACACACAATATCCACGTAATCACTATTTTGTTGTTACATACTGACATTTTCTTATTTTTTTCTACATTTAAAATATTCTAATTTGTTTACTTCTGGCACGAAAACAATTTAATTCTAGAATTCTACATTAATAGTCATGATGTTACAGTAATTATTAGTCAAAGCATTGTTATAGACCGTATAGGCCTATGATGTTCTGTTTACACTAATTGTGTAAAGATGAATCTGAATCTGTATTACACTCAAATATGTTCGTATCTCAGTTGTTTGATAGTGTAGACAAAGCTTCACAAAGCCACTATGCCTCACTAATACACAACTGAACGTTTAGACTTCGGATGAGATTTCATCCCAACCAAAAAATAGAGGTCCCTGCAAGAGAGAGCAGCTTAGCTCAGTCGGCTAATCTGGTGTGGTAGCACTGTGTGTGCGCTGAACCGTGGAGGTCTCTAGTTCCCCGTTCAATTCTCATTGTATTTCAGCTGGAGGGCTGAAATGCAAGTTACAATAGAGCACGGTCTTTTCGGATGAGACGTTTAAGTCGTTGGTCCCGTGTGCATTGATGGCCCATGTGCACGTTAAAGGACGGAGTACACTCTTCGGAAAAGAGTAGGGGATTGTCTCCCGGTGTACTGCCCAATCACCACCAGAAGGACCCCACTGGAAATAAGTCTACTTCTAGACTTTCGTGGGCTATCCTTGGTGTTTACACCGAATAGACATTAAATGTAATCCAATATTACTTCGATATAAAATATATATTTGAATTATTTATAGTTGTTTTATGTTAAACTTTATGGTATTATTTTAAAATCAAAATTTAGTAATAATTTTACATTAGATACTGTCTTGAATCAAAACGAAATCCTACTGACAATCTTAATTGAGGATGTGAACGACGAAGCACCGACGATTGAAGGCGATCGTACACTTAATATTAGTGGTTACTCAGCTGGCGTTCGGGATGATGCCGAATATGGATATGAGATTTTCCAAGTCCAGGTTTGTAATTTACTTTCTTGGCGAGAATAGGTTACACTATTAAGGTAGATGTTTGAACCAGTGGCGCATTCAGGTTTTTAAGGGGGAGGGTGTAGGGGAAAGTAGGTGGTTAAGAAATATTACATCCGCTGAAGTACGCAATGCTCGAAACTAAGGACGAAGAATAGGCCTATGGCTATGACTACAATAATATTAAATGAATAATGTTAAATATGTATTTTAGATGCGAAAACGATAAAATAAATATTTGAATGATTATATAGAAATATATACGAAGACTGAATTAAAACATCATAACTGCCAAAATTACTTACAGGCCAATGATGAAGACTTAACATCTGAACTACAGTTCGCAATGTCTTCAATAAATACAGATGCGAACAGCCTATTCGAAATCGACCCAGTTACCGGTCAGGTGATTGCCACAGGTTTTCTATACAAAAAAATCGATTACTGTGATCCGCAAGAGAGCTGGAAGGAACAGGAATATCAGTATATCATCACTGTGAATGATACAAATGGTCACATAAATGCTAGCACAGATGCCAATGCAACAGTATGTTTATATTTATTATTCTCTTGTATATGCATATATATAGATCTTATAGTTTCTGAGAATTTTACCTATAATCACAGTAATAGTTATATATCACTTATAGTATATATCACTGCATATATATTTCTCCTAATTATAATGTCCAGCATACAACTACTGTACCTTAATATGGTTTCTATTGTATTGTTTTCTTCATGACAGATCAAAATACTTTCACGTTTTGAGCACATCCTGTTGATTTTCAACAAACAAGCTGAAGATTTAAAACAACAGCAAAACACTATTGTACAGTAAGTCTTTGATTGACTGGTTTACTTGTTTAATAAGTACAACAATTAAAACCAGTTTCCTTTTTAGTGCATAAAATATTATGAACAATATTATATAACATTACATGTAGTGGTGTAACTTGGGGGTTGTGGTTAAGGTGTTTGACTTGTAATCTCAAGTTCATGGGGTCAAATCTTGTGTCTCCATAATTTTTTCTCACGCCCACTCCCTAGTTAACGTAATAAGTTTATAAATCACATTAATTGATTTGTTTAAGTGTTGGTGGGCCTGAATATCAGCGACTTTATAAGAAGGAAGGGTCACCTTCTACAGATATGTTTTTTTATAAACTTAACAAAACAAACCCTTGTTTTTACAGAAAATTGGAAGAAAAATATGATATGAAAATTGTTATAGAGAGCCTATCACCACGGACAGAATACTTTCCTTTTGAACTTGACTACGAAAGGTAAACCCTCACAACGAATCCAATTGCGCTCTCTTTGAGCGCTGCCGCTAGACAATGAGACTCCGTCTGATGATTGTCGATGGCCGTCTGAACGGATCGTCATTAAAAACGATCCGTTGCGCGCGCGTCGTCGCGTTGCATTCTTCATAGAATCGCGTCGACCGTCGGGCACAGTGAGTGGCCGGCTTTACATTGGTAGTTTTCGCCGCATGACGTTTACCTTAACATTAACGGATGACGTCATAATTCAATTATCTTGCGTTGCGGAGTACGATAATTTCAGGATTTTATGTGCTCGACGTACGTTAGTTATGGGTTTGCGCATGCGTATTTCGAATTTTTTACTAAAGGGGAGGAGCTATCGCATTGCATGTTGGGTACCGACGTTAAAGTTACGGTTAACGTCGTGCGGCAAAAACTACAGTGTTACCGAGGAACTGACCTGGTGGTTGAGATCTTAGGCTTGTATACAAATACAAGTAATGTATAAAGTGTCTTGCGGTAATACTTTACATTTATACACACTGACACACCAACCCCCACCCACACCCTATTAAATCTTCATTTCACAGAGAGAGCTGATTGAGGAACATAGATCACCATGGTTCAGAGCACATATAACCGTTATATATCACCATTTTAACCACTGTGTTGAATAAACCTTTGAAACCCTTAAATTGCCATACTTTCCAGGGGTCGGGGTTTGTATTTTATTTATTTATTTATTAAGGTATAAACACAAAACGAAATAGCATCAAAGGCTAAAAACGTTTGTTTACAATCAACAAATACATACAACATAGGAAAACATATCAGGTTTAGAAAATACATAAAAATATCAAAACATTCAAAAAATTGCATAAGAATTGTTAAAAATTAATATAATTAATATATTTAATATAATAACCATATTATTGTTATTAAATTTCTAAAACTTTAATTAATTCTTATTAAAAAGGTATTATTATATACAGGATTAAAATTAAAAAGAAAATAAAGGGTTTATATTAAAAATTCAGGTCAAAAAATGAACAGCATCAGGTGAACTAAGAAACTAACCTTAATTATTTGCATTACTCAATTTAACAATAGTAGGTATGGCAGACCTTCTGTATCTTTCAGTTCTACATCTAGGGACATCAAGAGTACTAGTTGTATTAGACCTAAGGGTTCTTTTCTGCCCGCGGCAAGGAGGCAACCTGTCACGAAAGCAGTCAAACTTAAGTAAACCCCTGACAAAGGAAAAGACAAGAGATTATCTCCTTGCCGTGGGTGATGGTAAACCTCTAACCTCTAGGGCATTGTCATACATTATGCGACATGCTCTTTTCTGGATGGTCTCAATGCTATTGGCCATTTTATTGGTGATAGCACCATGCCATACTTGGCAAGCGTATTCCAAGATGGGCCTAATGTAGGAAGCATAAACAGTGATTTCATCAAGAACAACGTTGGCTTTCTTTAGTATATACAGAGAACAAACAGTCTTCTTGACGCCCGTGAGATAATATCTTGGGTGTTAAGGTCCCACTTCAAATTACATTAAATTATGCCACCCCTGCCCAATATACAATATTGCTACACATTTTTTCCTAAGCTTATGCGCATGTCTTTTGTGGTTTTTTTTACAGATCTGAAATGATGATCTATGCTTTAGCAAAATATGATGGAAGTGTGTTTACTTATGAGGATTTCAAAGAGTAAGCAAACATTATTTGTTTCGTATTCACGACTCAATGGAAGTTTATACTATTCGAAAATTTTAAATTAGATTGAATTTAAAGGGATCCCCCCCCCCTATATGAACAATATATATTTAAAGAAAACATTGGAAAAACTGCATGATTGATCATTTTTGATGTTTTTATTTAGCCATACTTCGTGTGATGAAGGAAATATGGACGGTGTTGACAACTGTTCGATGGTTCCCATCAAGAAAATATACTCGACGCAGAATGATACCTTTGGACTGGTCTTGATTATATTTGCATCGCTTATATTTGTTGGCTCGTGTATATTAATTTATCTGGTTATATATTCATTTGGAGAGTAAGATTTAATTTATTTCATTTTGTCATTTGATAAATGTATTCATATACTTATTCAGGTATTAATCGCAAGACATTTAACACTTACACTATACAAAATAGGAAATATACTTAGATAATATTGGTAAGAAAGGATGATGATGTCGATAAAGAAGATGATGATTATTATAACAATAATAATGATAAAAATAATATAATGGGATGATTAATTAATAATAATGATGATGATAATAATAATGATTTATATTTTTAAAAAAAAGGAAGCATACTAAGATAATATTGATAACAAATGATGAGGATGATGATATTAATGAAGAAGTTGATGATTATGATAACAATAATGATAATAATAAAAATAATTAATGGGTATGATAATGACAATAATAATGATGACGATGATAATAATTATAATAGTAATAATAATAATAATGATTTATATTTAAAAAGTAAACTACAAAGATAATATTGGTAACAAAATATGATGATATTGACAAAGAAGATGATGATTGTAAGATTATTAGATGGTAATAATAATGATGATAATAGTACTATAATGAGTATAATGATAACGATAATTATAATGATTATGCTGATTATAATGATGATTTTCCAATGTTGTTTTCGCCAGGAGAGTTAATAAGACTGATGATTTGCCCTATACCTGAAGTATTAATGATGATGATGATGATATTATAATGAGCAAAATGATGACGTTAATAATAATAATAAAAATAATTAAAATAATAATAATAAATAATTAAAATAATAATAGTAGGCCTAATTGTAATAATATTATTTTATATTGTTTAGGTATGAGCAATCGAGACGCAACAATGTTCTTCGTGAAAGCAGAATGGAAAACCATACAAATGCTGCTTATAACAATGATGAAGTTAACGATATATATAAGATACCTTTACTTGAATTAAGGTAGATATTTAGTATACCTCAATAAGCCTGATATATAAAGGCCAACTCAGACAGCGTCTGTTGTCGCGTCGGGTCGATCTGTGTGAGTTAAACGCAGACGCGATGGTGTGCGTCGGGGGCAGTCGCGTCGTAGAATATTAAACATGTTTAATATTTCTCACGACGGCTTAAGACTGTCCCCGACGATAAATCAGGTCGGGCTGCGTCGCCCGACGCTGTCTGAGTTGGCCTTTATGATACCGGTTTATTATAAACAACCTCTTACTTTAAAGAACATTCCATTTTCTTAGTGAAATTTTCAGAAAAAATGCATAAGCCCTATTTATTATTATTCTGATTATTATAAACCAGTCATTAATTGGTACAAATTTTAGTTTTACGCTAAATGAGAGAGAGAGAGAGAGAGAGTGAGAGAGGGAGAGAGAGAGAGAAAATTGAGAAGTAGAGCCTATTTCTTATAGATTACCATTTTCTCGACGACATCTTTGTTACTTCTTGGATGTTATTAAATGTTAGTATAATATCTACAACAACAGTTAGTACCCCCTTCTGTAAAGTGTAGATAGGTACTGCAATACCAAAGGCTAGAGAGAAAGAGGATAAACTATAGGCCAACTACAGGCTGACTTAAGTCCTACCTAGGCCCCTTCTTAAACTATAGGCTTAGGTCCCTAGGGTCCTAGGCTGATACCAACAGTCACGCTTCACATGACGTTGATTGAAATTTTGAAAAAAATTGAAGCATAAAATAAAAAGTAGATTGCATAAGATAAATATTATTAAATAAATACAATATACCATTCCGCTCCGTTATTGAACTTGGCGAAACTATCCTTGTAATGTAAATTTAAATGATGATAATGATAATAATAATAATAATAATAATAATAATAAAT